GACGTTCGTGTCACGGTCGTTCGTGTCACGGTACAGCGTCCGCCGCGAGCCGCTGCACCGAGGTGGTTAATACAGAGCGTGACCTTTTTATTTTGAAGCTGCCGCAGCTATTACTCTAGGAACCTGCCCTGCTGCGGGCAAGGGGAGCGATGCAGCTCAGCACGGGTGTTCCCTGGGGAGGGAGAGCGGCGGTGTGCGGGTCCGGCCTCCGCCGTGCTCGAGGCGCCGCTTCACGGCGTATTTTGAATCCTAGTCAGGTGTTTAAATACCTTCGTGAAGGCAAATGTCTCCTTCAAGCAGAATAGGAACCTCCGCGTCTGCGGTCTAAGTTTTTCCTGCGGTGAGGGTGCCAGTTGTTTAGAACGGTGGGTGTGGGTGAGGTCTACCTGTAGGGAGTTGATGGGTTCCTGGGAGGAAGCTGCCTCTTGAGACTCCTTACATAGTCCTTTAAGGATTGGCGTTTATCCGGTGAAGTTGCAGGATAGGTGTAAATTTAAGCCATTGGGTCAGTTTCGAAAGGCAAACACAGTTGCTTCTGACCACGATTTACAAAGTGTAACTAACAAAGTCCAAACCAGAAGAGGCTTGATTGGGCCCTGTTTGTATTTCCACGAGCAGCCAAGCCGTGGTAGATTCGTTTAGCCTTTCAGTTGTAGCCTTGCAGAGCTGCTTTTCCTTTTGGCTGGGTGCTGTGCCGGATTTGCCTGCCTAAACCTGACTTGATTAGAAGTCTGTTGATGTGCCCTGTATTTAGCAGGGAAAGGTATGAGGAAGGGAGTCGCGACGTCTCTATTGCCTCCTGGTGGTAATTGTCTCCCCCTGTATTGCATACCAAATTCGAGTACCTTGCTGCTGTCAATTTGCTGAAAATGGAAGAAATGCTGAACTTTTAAAACCTGCGGGTGAATGGTGACCTGAATGTGTGACGGTGAGCCTAACCAGACTGGGTACCGGTGTTACCTGATACGGAAAAATGCTTCTAGGAAAGTTTTGCTTCATTTTATTTTATTAATGGCACTTTCCTGCCAGGCTTGTACTGCCAGCGAGAGGCTGGAGGAGGACAGGGATCAAATTCCCTGAACCTTATCAATTAACGGCTAGCCCCTAGGCTGAAGCCAGCTGGCATAACTTCCTTTGTTGTTTGAGTGCATGATTTGCCTGGTATCAATTGTGGGTGCTTTATACTCACCTAAATGTCCAGTTGTACTTCAGCCTGTTGGCTTCTTATCGGCAGTGTTACGTGGTGTAGCCTCATTGTGTGGGTTGCTTTATTAAAGGTACTTCTCTTCATGGGCTGTAGATTGTCTGGGAAAATACCCAGGAGCTTGAGATAAACAGGGGTTTGTGTGTGTGCTCTTCAGTGTTTTGTCATATGGTCTTTCTGCTTCCTCTCTTGGCTTTGCTCTTCCCCTACAGAAGCTGTTGCAAGTTCCTAAACTCTTTCACTGCCAGGTTTTTCTGCTGCGTTCCTTCGTGAATAGGATGCCAAGGATGCAGGGCGGCATTCCGTGCCAGGACATACATCTGTTGTTCTGCTTGCCTTTTTTTTTTTTTTGACCACCTTCAGCCCCTGTGCTTGTTACCGTAACCTCTAGCAGTAATTGCAGCATTTTCCTTCCTCCCTTGTCTCACAGGTGGTGTGCACAGGAGAATGCTTGTCTCTGTGCATGGGCACATGTGGTAGTTTAAAGTGTTGGGACAGGGGTGACATGTCTAGTGAAGAAATGAAGAAAAGTCTTATTACAGTTGGAGCGCATCTAGGCTTTTCCTCTGATGCGGGCTGTTCTGGAGGTGGGAATACGTGCGAGCCTGTCTCCTCTTGGCTGCCACAAGGGTCTCTTCGCAAGTCTGCCAGACTATAGTCCCTGTGCTGTGAAGGGAAAAAAAAGTGATCTCTGTTATCACTGCAAGAGCTATAGACCCTTAGAGTTAATAGAAATGTACGTGCTGGAGCTTGAGACGCAGCCAGCAGCTCCAAGCATTGTCCCCTCAAACTCTTTTAAAGCAGAACTGTCTGAGTCTGGATCGTACCTGATGGGTTGGCCAGGCTCGCTTAGTTACTGAGTCAAAGCACGTACTGCCTCCCAGGTGTGTTGGGAATTAACTTGTTTTCCTGGGTAAATGGGAACTTAGCAAGGGGAACATTTCCACAAATAGCTCAATAAATGTGGCCTCTCCCAGTGAAAATAAATACCTAGAGATTTAATCTTTCTGTAGTTTCTTCACCCGCATGCTCCCTGTGAACCTAATTCCCCTCCCACACCCCGTTCTGGAGTTTGGGCAGAAATTTAATCGTGGCTGAAAAGAGCAAAACCTCTTCAGGTCTCCTGTGCTGCGAAGAAATTATTCTTGAGAAAAGATCTTTTTTCTAATTGATCATCTTTTTTTAAATCTTCACTTTTCAGACCTTCTAAGAAATCTGGGTCTTTGACAGACCCGGGTGCAGGTTGGCTGGCACTCCCTCTGGACTGGCAGAGCATTTCCCCTACAAGTCCCCGTGCTCCGCCGTCTTTTTGCATCTTCCTTGGGCGCGATCTCTGGGCTATGGTGCTGCCTTCAGGCAGACTCCGATGGTATTTCCCTGGTAGGCTCCAAGCTAATAAATAACTGCGCATTGTAGCATGGTCTGTTTTGTTAAAGTGGTGTGTGATAAACCAGTGTTACAAATGTGTAACGAATTGGAGATGACAAAATAACTAGAGAATACAGCTGCTTTTTTTTCCTTTTCATTTAAGTTGCAGGTTTTTTTCTCTAAACTATCTTCAGCTTTCCCCTCTGCATAATATTGGGGGAAAAAAAATCTCTTGAAGTCCTTGGCTGGTCAATTTTCACTCTGAATCCACTAGACACAGTTTAATAGAAGCTGTTTAATTGTTAACACTATTATAGGTAAGAATGCTGAACTTTTATCCATTCAATGTGCTTGTATTCTGGTACGTGTTAGTTAGTGTAAATGTTTATAAGCTGGCAGTGCCGACAGAAATGCTTTGGGTATGGTGGGAGCTTAAAAGAAAAGTCTTCTATCAGCCTTATTAGAAAAAAAATTAAGATACAGACAGTGAGTAGTTGGTGATGAACTGGCAGCTAGGTAGAACAGAGAGGTACTGCAGCTGCTTTTGTTTTTCTTTTAAATGGGGATGTAAGAGATTTTTAAAAAGAGAACCTAGAGAAAGGAATGACAGAGAAGAAGAGTAAAACTTCCCGGAAACATGGGAGAAAAGATATGAATCAGCTTTGGGTTGTTGGGAGAGGCAAAAAGTTTTCTTAAAACATCGAGAGCTGCCTTCAGCAATCCTTTGAATCCTGTCTGGAAGGGGTAGCTAGCGTTGCTCCTTGTGCCCTGCCCTGAGGGAGCAGGCAGGGTAGCACAGTGTTACTTGGTCACCTTGATGAGAGTGTCTCCTAAAGGAGTTTGAGTCACAGATACAGCCCAATGTTACGGGAACAAGCTGTGTTTATCGCTGCTTGAGCTGTTTGTAAGCAAAACCAGGGAACTAGCAAGGAGTCTGCAGCTCACCAGTCACGGTTAAATGCCCTGTTTTTCGCGCGGTGGTCAGAGACATACTTGGCAGCGTGCTGAACTTTCCAGTACAAACCGTCCTGCTTCGTCTTTCCTGCTAGCTCGGGGACCTCTGGATTTTCCTTTGCCGGGGCAAGTCTTTGTGGGAGATGCTATTAGGTGCCTGCTGTCTCTCACGTGTTAACCGCATGCTCCTCTGGAATTCTTTCTGACTTCCTCAAGATTTCTCTCATGTGGAACATAAGCTTGCTCTAAAGCTTCTCAAGATCAGGGCACGAGTTAGTGCGACCTGTTATGTGAGGAGAGTATTGTGAGAAGCAGAACGCATGAGATTTTCCAACAACAGAACAGTGTATTTTGAGCATCCCCATTAAAAAGAAATATCCTTAGTCAGTGTTTTATTTATTTTTAGGTTACAAAAACAGGTGTCTGCATATATGAGGTGGTGGAAATCCAACAGATAATGTTTAAAAAAAAAAAAAAAGGCAAAATAAAACCTATTCTAAAATATCAGTGAGCTGATTTTAAGAACAAATGAATGTGTGTGCCATGACAAGAAGAGCATTCCAGGGCAATGCACCAGCTGGGTTGCCGTTAAAAGTATCTGGTCGTAGTTTACCCGTTATATGCTATCAAGCTCTTATAAAATATTTCCTGTTTTATAACAGCAACTCAGGCATGAGAATCTCGTGAACCTGCTGGAAGTCTGTAAAAAGAAGAAACGGTGGTACCTGGTGTTTGAATTTGTGGATCACACGGTGCTTGATGACCTTGAGGCGTTTCCAAACGGACTAGACTACAGCAGGGTTCGGAAATACTTATTTCAGATTATGAGAGGAATAGCGTTTTGTCACAGTCATAATGTAAGTATGCCCAAGAAGTTAGCTCTGCAGTTGACCTTGAATGAGTAGATACTGAAGCATATATTTTCGATATACGTTAAAACTTACAGAAATAAAGCTGTGGCTAAAAAGGAAGAGGCAGGGCGGAAGGGCCGGACTGAATTTCACATAAAATGTCAGAGCTTGATGTCAGCTAGTCCAGCAGTCTGTCTCTGATTGAGTTGTGAGAGTGTTTCGAAGGAAGGGTCCAAAAGTCCATGGGGATTCAACACTTGGTGGCGCCTTATTGTAGGTTGGCTTATCTTGCAGAGGAAGATAGTCTCTCTTTCAAAAGTTTGATTCTGATAGTGTCTGTGTAAACATGTAGGCCTGCTTTTTCTCTTCAGTATTTTTAGGTTTTTGTTCTCAACTGATTTCTAACAGGTTTGCTAATTCAATCCTCGTTGTGTAACTATATATATGTAAACATACACGTGTTTATTTTTATGTTTGGGAAACTCTCTCTCTTACGAATCCTAAAATACTCTTCACATTTAGCTGCAGGACGTGCCCGTGGCCCTTGCAATACTTACAGCTTTTAAACTTGTTGTCAAGGCCAGATTTTCAAGCGTAATAAATTGTACCTGTTAAAATACCTATAGTAAATACACCTGCAGAACATATGCAGAGAGATACGTAAAATAAACGTTTCTGTGTGCAAAAATTAGAGGTTTTGTGTTTACCTGTGCACTTGGGTCGGCACTTGTTCATCGACTGTGTGCACGTAGCTGTATTTTACAGACTCCGTATGTTTCCCTTGCCTGCAAAAATGTAATCTTCTACCTGGATGTGAGAAAGCTACTATTTTTGGTGAGCCAGTCAATCGACTGTGTAGAAATGGGGAATCTATTTGCCTTGACTTGCTTTTCTCTGTGCAGATAATACATCGGGATATTAAGCCAGAGAACATACTAGTCTCCCAGTCGGGAGTTGTAAAACTATGTGACTTTGGATTTGCCCGTACCTTAGCAGCTTCTGGGGAAGCTTACACAGACTACGTGGCAACCCGATGGTACAGAGCTCCAGAGCTGCTGGTGGGAGATACCAAGTATGGCAAGTAAGACTGGCACGCGAGGCTGCAGAAGGGTTGTGGGCTTGTGGGGAGTATGGAGGGGAGTGCTCTGTTTTTTGGGGAGGCAGGGGACTATTGCTTGGCAAACAGGTTAAAGGGATGCTGTTCAGCATTCCCTGGTTATTCACTTGTAAAGGTTTAAGCCTTCCTCTTCTCTCTCGCGCTCTGCAGCTAACTACTGCCGGTGCTAGGCTTTCCTGGCTCAAAAGGCAAGGAGAGCCCTCAGCATTCCCGGTCTGTTGTCTATAGAAGCTTTTCGGTTGCCAATGCCAGTATTGGAGGAGGCTATGATTAGACTTCCCTCCTGTGCAGTTGGAGTGATGGAGGGAAGACAGAAGAGTCCCTCTGAGCAATTCTAGATGGACGTTTCGGGAGGGAGGAGGTGGGATGAATGGGATTTTTCTTAAGGGGATCCCCAGTGCTGCAAAACCAGGTCAGAACTTAAACTGTGTTATTCACAGGTCTGTTAGTACAATTGTGCAGGTTTATGTATGTCCCTGTATTACTTAAACTTAATTTTCAGTAAATGTGCCTGAAGAGCGGATGCCTGCAGAAAGAGGAGCTGCTTACCTTTGTGCTCTCCAAACTGCAAGATTCTATTAATGTGTTGTGTTGTATTAGTATTTTTGAAGCATTGGGTTTTGGAACCTGATTTTACATCTGTCAGGCTTCTGCTAGCATTTGTCTGCTTCAAGAGCTGAATCCTTGCCATTCATCAGAGCACTTGTAAACTTGGAAAACAGCTGTCTTGCTGTTTAGGGGGCAAAGCTGCCCTGGCGGCTTGTGACCTGCTGAGGACGTGCTGTGCACTGGCCTGTCTCAGCCTTTAGATCAAAGAGACAAATGAAGCCGTGCTGAGCTGGGGTGTTGTGTTTTTTTTTTCCAGGGCTGTGGACGTGTGGGCTATTGGCTCTCTGATAACAGAAATGCTTACAGGAGAGCCCCTCTTCCCTGGAGATTCAGACATTGACCAGCTCTACCATATCACCAAGTGCCTGGGTAAGAACAGCCTGTTGTGCTCCTGGTGCCTGCTTAGTAATGAAAGGGTCAAAAACGTTTTGACAGGGGGAGGAGGGTGTGGGGAGAAAGGCTGTGGCGTGTGCTGAACTATTTCTGAGAGAGTGTACTCTTAGCGCCTTTTACAAAGGGGGAGCTAGGAGCTTGTGAGTACAGCATCAATTCATGGCGCACAGGTAGAAAGAGAACGACCCAGACTGTAGCCCTTACAGTAGTGCTGACCCAGTATTTCAGCCTCTCAAATGTTTCACGGGAATGTTCTGTATTTCTTCCACGTGGTTGCTTTGTTTGTGTGATTTCAGGTAATTTAATTCCAAGACACCAAGAGTTATTCTATAAAAATCCCCTCTTTGCTGGCATGAGATTGCCTGAAGTGAAGGAGGCCGAATCTCTGGACAAACGATATCCCAAGCTCTCTGCTGCAGTGCTAGATTTAGCCAAGGTAATTAACTGATCATTTACTACGAACGTTTCTCTGTTTACTTGTCCTTCGCCTTGGGAAGCTGAATACAGCCTACAGAAAGGGCTGGGGCTCTTAAACTGGCTTTCTCTCAACTACCCATGCAATGAGCAACTGCTTGGGCTGGTAGCTTAGTGAGGACTGCAAGGATACGACAGCTACCGTCCTAGGTGACACGGGAGACGAAGCCAGTCATCTCCAGAGCCACAATGGTCACTGCATATCCTCCAGGGAGGATTTGTAGCATATAGTGCCCCAATGATTAAGTTTTCCAGGGAGATTTGAAAGGTGAAGAAGGGCTTGTGTGTCGAAAGCGTCCCCCGTACACCTCACTGCATCAGTTGATCTTTTGAAAGGTCTCCCAACAAGCTTTGCCCCTCATCTGCTACCTAAGTGGATGCTTTGTAGATAGTACACAGCCCCTTACTTCTTACTTGCTAGCAGAGCTGTGTGGATATAGTGTTTTCTGCCAACCCTCCCTCTACCCGCTGGTGGAGGCACTGCAAGCATGTAGGCTTGGATGGGATGGCATCCAAACGTGTCGCTTGCTCTTGGAGCTATGTGTCTGCTATGTGGGAGTTAGGAAGCCTACAACTTTGTTACAGATTCTGAAGAATCCTTCCAGGGAGTGATTTTGTGCTTTCACACAGTAGTCTGGAGCACCGATATGTTGGGTAACTAAAACAACTTAAAAACCACGTGGCTGTATTTGAAATGCTTAATGATCGAAACAGATTCTAAAGCCTTAGACAAACAAATGTAACTGAAAGCCAGGGAGGTTTACTGAGAGCGGAGCGATCTATTTGTATGGCAGGTATTCCCCATGCAGTGAGTCTCTGTGAGCGTTAGCGATGGGAATGGAAGCAGCCAGCAAACGTGAAACTTTTTTGGTAGTGATGTCTCTTGGGCTCATCTCAATATAACAGGGCCTAGAAGGGGGAGTTTTGCAGCTTTTTTTCCTTGACTTCACTCGGAAATGCTAGAGCCTTTGTTTCATTTCTAATGTATTTGCCTTCTAATGTTTACGTTGATTTGACAGAAGTGTTTGCAGATTGATCCAGAAAAAAGACCATCCTGTGCTGAACTCTTGCAGTGCGATTTCTTTAACAAGGATGGATTTGCTGAAAGGTAAACAGTTCATTTCTTGCTCAAAGCAGGCTAATATTAGAAGGAAGTTAAGCAGTTGCGCTTGAAGATTGCATGCTGGATTTGCAGAGCTGACAGCCGCTGAGTGTCTTGGGTTTTGTTTGGTTTTAGCCTTCCTGGAAATAGAACAGTTGAAAGGGAACGCATTGCAGCGGCATGTTTGCCTCATTACCTTGTCATGACATTAATTCATCAGTGTGCGCACCCAGTGTCACACCGTATTGGGTAGTATAGTCTTACACTGTATTCACTGCCTGCATCTACACCAGACTGGGATACAAACACCTTTACTGTTGTAATGGGAAAAGCGTGTGCTTGTAAGACTTTATTTATTTTCATGGATGCATCATATTTGGCTGGCTTCTCATTAGTTAAAAAGGCATGGTTTGTTTGATTACTTAAAAGGCTACAGGAGCCTGTGCTGAACACCAGCTGGTGATGCTACTGAGATTAACAGAAGCCCTTTTTTTTCTTTTTTTTTTTTTTTTCCTTCTCCCATGGAATTGTAGATTTGCTCAGGAGCTTAAATTAAAGATTCAGAAAGATGCCAGAGACCATCAATTACAAAAAAAATCAAAAATCAGCAAAAGGGACAAAGATGATGTTTTAGAAGAAAGAAAAATGCTTGGTGTCCAGGTTGGTCCATCTTTGTTTTCCAAACCTGTATTTTTTTTTTTCGTGTTTTAAAATCACTATATAAGTATGTGCAGCAGTTTCAGTTCATAGCAAAAATATAAGCATAATTGTCCATTTCATTTTTTTTAAAAAAGACTAAGTGTGATGTGCCAGAGAAGCTCACCTTTGGAGGCCTCTGTTAGTCTAAACAGCGCTGAAGACCTTGTCGCCCAATTCAAAGGCAGAAAGTATTTTTTTTTTTCGTGTTTTAAAATCACTATATAAGTATGTGCAGCAGTTTCAGTTCATAGCAAAAATATAAGCATAATTGTCCATTTCATTTTTTTTAAAAAAGACTAAGTGTGATGTGCCAGAGAAGCTCACCTTTGGAGGCCTCTGTTAGTCTAAACAGCGCTGAAGACCTTGTCGCCCGATTCAAAGGCAGTACGTTAGGCCTGTGGCCCCCCCTCCCCAGCTCTGACAGTCAGAGAAATACAGCCTGCAGGCTGCTGTGTAGAAGTGCTGTGCCTTTGATTCTAGCTGTTTGGCTGCTGCTAGGTTGCTCTAGCGCTTGGCTCGGCGGTCTGCAAGTCGCTATTTGGCCGGTTCCTTGCAGGTAAACTACGTCGTGATGCAGTTACTGGCAAATACGGAGCTGAAGGGAGAATCAATTAGGAAGCATAACTCATGTTGAATCACGAAAACATGCTTGTACGCTGTTGTTTACCTGTGTTAAAGCCCCGTCTCCAAAATGACATATTTTGCTTTCAATCAGATACTAAGAGTGACTTGGAGGTGACATTGGGCTCAGTTCTTATTTCATTTCTTTGGAAGTGACACAGGATACGGCTGTCCTTCCTCCATCATTTCCGATCCCATTCTAAGGTGACTTATTTACAGAGGGTGCTGGAACCCTGACGAGTCTCCTCCTGTTTGATGAAATCGGAGGTTTTCTACTGAAAACAATTCCATCTCCATCAGATCCTTGCAGAATCATGCAGGTTTAGGCTTTTGACTTTTTTTTTCCCGCATGCGCTGCTCTAAGCTACTTTTTAAACGTGACCGTAAGAGAAAGACGATGCTTATCTTCCCAAACAGGATTTCAGCATTGACCCGAAGAGCAGAGATGCAAAGCTATTAAAGGCAAAGCGCTCTAAAGCTGATGCAGAGAAAGCAGACCGATCCTCCAACCTGAGCTCCCTCTACAACCCATTTAAAATAAGCCCTCAAACCAGCCTAAAAGATTCCGGCAGCAGCTTGGACTATGCCAAGAATGCAAGCATAGTTATCCCTCCCATCAACCAGAACCTTTCTCCCACTACGATTGGGATGGGGCCTGTGCCTGGGAACCTTAATTACAGGTACGGGAGCAGAGCTAGAAGAGCTTGTATCCATCGTCCCTGTTGCCTAGGAACTGTAATGTCCTGAGAGAGGTGCAGGGTGATGATGTGGGAACGCGAGATGTGGGTTTGGGACAGGACACGGCTAGGAACAGCGCTTGGGTGGAGGATTGAACGTGGATAAGAAAGCCCGGCTTCACCTCGAGCAGCTGTGCGTGTCCACACAGGCACAGGGTCTCTGCGTTTCTGCATTTGGCAAAGCGCTACTGGACAGCAACGGTTTGCCAGCTGCTGTGACGCTGGCCTTTCTTTGACTCGCGGCTTGTCCTTTGGACCAAACTTCTCTGTTAACTGCGCTCACGAAGGATATTCTCCCCGTGAGCCTTCTTTCTAAGCATTTAATGACAGTGTTTCTGGGTCTCTTGCATTTGTTGTTTTCATATTCACCGTGTTACCCCAGTTAATACAAAGTTTGGGGCGTTTTTGATTACAGAGTTGATGAAAAGAGTAAAAAATACTTGAACCCATTTCTAAAGCAACGGAAGCATTCTCCAGCAGGCCATTACAGCGTAAGCTTGACATCGGTAAGTCGTCTCTTTCCCCCTTGGCAAAGCAAAAAGAAATTCTGAACTCAACTATGTGTTTTATTGTCAAGAATCCCATCTGTTGCAGCCTTCACCATAAATCCCTGCTAGAAATACTATTTTCTTTACCCCTCTTTTCCTACGAGTGTGTCGTCTGTTATCTTTTGCTAATGGTTATCTTATATGAAAACATATTTTGTGTCAGAGGGCAATTTTAAATGAGATACTATTTTCTTTACCCCTCTTTTCCTACGGGTGTGTCATCTGTTATCCTTTGCTAATGGTTATCTTATATGAAACATATTTTGTGTCAGAGGGCAGTTTTAAATGAGGGGGGCGGTCCAGCACAGGATATCTGTGAGACGTCGAATATATCCATGGCCTCCTGCCTGGCCAGGAAAAGTAGACCATACGTGCTGCGCTACTGAAGCAGAATTTAGGTTTTGGATTTAACATGGTCAGGGCCTTATTTAGTCATGTCATAAATGCATTAAAAATTGATAATGAAAACAAGTGAAATGGAAATCTTTCCACTGCACTCACTACCTAGGCAATATTCTTTCCATGCCAGCAGGAATGTTTGCCTTTTTACAGATAACTAATCCGAGCCATTCTCCAAGTGTTTTATCTCCCTGAAAGCAGTCTCGCGTAGATGATTGGGGTTTTTTTTTGCTGTGGCTGTTCTGTTGTTTTTAATGTATAAATGACACTTGAGCAGAATGGATTCCTTCACACACATTAGAGTCTTTTCTTTTATTCTTGCGCAAGTTCCAACTACAGCGGAACATTGCTGTGTTGATGCATTTTTAAGCTTGAAAATAGCTTTTTTTTTTTCCCCCTATATTTTCATGAGCTGGTATTTATGCCCTTGATTACAGGTTACTAATGAAAAAAACATCCTTCGGGCAAATAGGAAAAAATGGGAATTCTCCAAGACAGATGTGCGTTTGCCAGAACTAAATCATCTCCCTGAACTGAGAGGAGTGGAAGGTATGAGCTTTGATGTCCTCTAAATAAAACCTGGATCCTAAATAAGTGGCGGGAAGCAGCGTGCATTAGAGCAGTCAGCTCTTGCTTCCTTAACATGGTATGCATTGGTTGTGTTTTGCAGCGTGGCATCCCAGATTTCTGAAAAAGGAAAATAAAACCGTTTCAGAGTCCCGTGTCCCCTCCCTTGCCGCGATTGACCTCCATAACCCAAGCCTGGCCTCACAGCAGGTAACAAGGCAATAAAACGGTTTGTGCTGCTCTGTATTTGTTTGGTTTGTGACTTTGTGAACAGTGTGACCCACAAATTTCCAGGGTGACTCTTAACAGAAGCAGAACTTGCCTTGGTTTCTTAACTGTCTAAGTAGAAGGACGTGAGGCCTTATGCTGGGGGAAAAGAGAAGGGTCACGGATGAAACACGGGGCTCTATTTGTCTCTCTGAGGTTAGCTAAATACTAGATTCTCACTGCTAAGACAGACAACCTGAATTGTTGCTCTTTCAGCTGGCTGGATCAAGGTGGAAGTAAGCCTGATTTACCAGAGTTGAAGAGAGACCAGGAGGGACACATGTTTTGAGGAGAACTGTTCTGGCTGTGTTAGGTGTTGAGGGGCTGAGCGCAGTAGGGAGGGAGAAAGCGTAGGAGCCAGGCATAGGGAGAAAAGGGGAAAACTTGCAACTCTCTCAAAGATTAGTTCCTCAGTAACATTGAAATGTTTGGGAGTTAAGTAACTCCATAGGCAGTCACTTTGGCTACCTTGCTTCCAGCTGAGGTTTGGCAGACCGTGTTGGGAGGGAGAGCATTTCTGAAGTCCGATTTGATCAAAGAACAGATGTGTTTTAAGTTGCACGTCGGCATTGCATATGTCCCTAGAAGGCAGTTTCTGATTGTTCTCTCTATTTATACTACACTTAGAAATTGACCTCTCCTGGGTTTTTTTTTTTCCTTCCCAATTTACAGCTGTCGGGGACCTTGATGCCCGATGCGTCAGAAGCCAGTTTCCCCAGAGTTGAGCACTAGCCTTATGGAGAAGGAGATCACACCTGCCTGTAAAAGGTAGGCTTCAATTTCTGCAGTGTAGCCTTCTGGTGGCTTTCAAATAGATAGTTTCGTGAACACTTACCGAGTTGGGAGGTGCAATGGGGAAATCCTTTTACACTTCACATTCTCGATTAGGACTCCTAGCTAGGACAGACTTCTTACAGAGGCAGCACGCAGCTTTCTTTACAGATACTGAAGCTGGCTGCGGCAGGCAAATCGTTTTGCTGAGCTGAGGTGCTGGGCATCGGTGTTGGAAATTAAGCAGCTCATGAAGTTGGGGGTTGAGGAAGCTGATAGAGTAACAAAAAGGGGAAAGTGGCTGCCTTCACGTGAGGAGTGGAAAAAATGGGTTGTATGTACAGCACTGTCAACTGCATCACAGAAAATGGACTTGCAAGAGGGAGAAAAGCGTTTTGGGGGGCCTGTCAAGCTTAACATTAGGGAAAATTTTTAGTAACTGTGTCATGCAATCTAAATTTATTTAAGGTAGCTGTTAATACCTCAGTGCTCTCCAAGCATGAGATAGGAGTCTGGGAGAGAAGGAGGCTTAGGAAAAGTCCTGGCTGTGTGGTTGACTTGTAGTCTTAAGATTGAAGCACTAAGTGTGAACTCTGCCACGCTATTTGTACTTTCACTTAGCATTGTGACTTACCATTCTAGATTGTTTTAAGCTGAGGCTTTTAAATGTGGTTTTAATAGTTTCTCATCTTGCCCATTGAAAGGCATGCAGTTCTCTAAGTCATTTTGTCTGAAAAACAACCCCGTAGAAAAAATGGTATGGTTTTGTTTGTTGTTTTGCTTTTTTCTATTGGGGTATTGTTACCTCTTGCTGCTCAGCATCTTCCGGGGAGTCTGCTGTATGTGTTGGAGTGTCTCATCCTCTTGAAAATGAGAACTGCAGTGCTTAGCTGAGGGTTTTTACTCTCATGATCACCCCTCTTCCCTCACTGAGGCTGTGCAGAAGGACCGCACCTTCCGGACGGAGGAGAAGTTGGGGAGAATAAAGAGGGAAGGAGACAAGGTGCTCCGAAAGGGTCTTCAGAGGCTGCGCTCCAAAATCTCACCGGCTCTATTGGAACTGCGTCCCCTGCATAGACGGGCTTTACTCAGTGCTCTGGGTACCCTGGTGCTGCCAGCCTGGACGCGATCCCATACCTGTCCCTCTGGGGATTCCTCCTGTGGCCCCAGGGACCACCAGGCACCGCAGCCTCCCTCCTCTCTTACTCGGTGTTTGTTACAGATAGCCGCGAGCGTGTCATGGCAATACTGTTAACATGCAGGTGCAACATGTGCATCTTAAGTTTTTTCTTTCGGGCTCTGGTGTTTCCTTTTTGAGGAGAGGGAGCAACTGCTGATTCTGAAATCTCTGCACAAATGCTGCACGTGCTTTTAATCTATATGAGAGTATTTGGCACTTATATTCACGTGATGCGATGGCTTAATGCTACTAGGAAGAAAGAAGAAAAAACATTGGGAATGGGAAGCAATCCTGATAATAGAACTGGGGGAAAAAGAAAGCTTACTAAAGTTGTCTCATCGGTGAAGCACAGCGGTGTAAGTGCACAGCTTTAGCAAGGTAAGGACGTGTAATAAACCAAAATAAAGGAAGCATATCATCAGGGAGTACCTCTGCGGTTTTGTTAGCCTGTCCATAACATGGTTCTGCTTTTCTCCTCTCGATGCAGGTGGCTGAAGCAGTGGGAACAACCCACCTGAGTTTCCAGGTGCGAAAGCTGCAAGGTCTCTGCAGGAGAGAGGAAGATCCCTTCCTCTCTTGTTAGTGCAGCGGACTGCCGTGGGAAGCGGCTCAGGTCCAGTCCGAGGACAGAGCTCGCACTGCCATTGCTGCTGGATTCCTTGCCTGCAAAATCGCTCCTGAAATGTCGACTTTCTGGCCCAGGGCCAGGTCTTGTCTGAGGCTGCTCAGAAAAAAATACTGGTTACTGGTGTGTGACAAGGGCAGAAGCTAGTCTGGAGGATTTTGAAGGAAGCTGGGCTTTCTTTTGTCTAACTGCTGCCCTCTTGAGGGTTTGCTTTTTAAATGAGTAGTGAAGAGAGTAGGTAGCTGCTGAATTTGCCATGTTTTGGTGGGCTACCTGATCTCTATTGGAAAGCACCTTTGCCTTGACAAAAACGTCAGTGAAGAAAATGTCTGTGCAAGAAATACGACGTTTAAATGTGTAAATGTTCTCAGCTGTTCCTTTGAAACCCTTGCTAATGCTCAGCAGCATGTGTGACCCTGTGTTAGGTTCCTTTTCCTTCCATGCTTTCGTGTTCCCCCCACCCCGGCCCTGTCTTTGGGCAGTTGGCTTTCGGGTGTTTAACTGGGCCTGTTGTCTGGCCGCGCTGGGTGAATGTCTGGGTGCTGCTAATGGTGAAGGAAGAATATCAGTGTAAAATACTGAGCTGTGATGCAGGTGGCATGTAAAATGGCTTCTGTGAGCGCTCAGTAACTCACTTAAGTCATCAGTCCTTTAGGTCCCTTGGGGGGAATGGGACATGTAAGTGTAAAACTCGACAGTGGCTTGCGGGGAGAGAAAGGTGGCATCGCTTTTATCTTGGGACCGTTAAGAGACCATTTTTGCTTAACTGCCCTTGAGTTGGTTGTAGTCAGTTCTATGGTGTCCCTACATTGCTCACAACTCTTTTCCGGCAGCTCGAGGCTGCTGTCACAGCTCAAAGCCCTGTACGGTGTAGTTAATTTTGGAACTTGTCTTTCCCCAAAAAGTGGCCTTTCCCATCGATGTCTCATGGCGGAATACAGTATGAGTGTCACCGTATTTAGAGCTGTGTGGCTATGCTGTGTTTTGATGTGCGCATTACAATTTGTAAATAAAAGGATATTCAAATTTCTTGGTACTAGTGTGTGCTTACAAATGTGAGATGTGCTCACTTAGTCTTGCCTGGACTTGGTGTTATATCTGCTCATCTGTACTGGTGCCATTACCTGCATTGAAAAAGGGGACTTCTGAATCAGTTTTTATTTAACAGTTGACATGTTTCTCGCAACCGTTTACAAGCACAGGTTCTTACTGTCCCTCAGCAGCACCCGGACAGCACGTAGCTGGCTCATCCAGTGTTCCCTTTACCTTTCCAGCTCGGCTGGCCTACTGGCGATAGCACTGCGACGTTCCCATTGCCCTGCTTTTTCTTTGCCCCTAACCAGGAACTGCTCCAGGTCTCCCAGTTGTACCCGTAGCACGTGTTCTGAGCTGGCCACAGCAGTCATTTAGCTAGCCGTGGGCAAATTCAACCAAGCTACTTGCCTAAAACTGACCTACTGAGAATTGACCAAGGCCGCAGGGGACGGAGCAGCCCCCAGCCAGGGCCGTTGACCTACTGAGAATTGACCAAGGCCGCAGAGGACGGAGCAGCACCCAGCCGGGGCCGCGTGCCTCTCCCAGCCCGAGCTCCAAGATGCTCAGCCTCGACACCCGCGGGCGGTGGGTCCTTGTCTCGGGAGCAGCAAACAACTCCTCCTGGAAAACACGCAGGGGCAACCTCCCTGCCGCCCACCTGCGGGTTGCTGTCCCCTATGCTGCATCCGCCGGCCAAGATATTTGGGTTTATGATTTGGGGAGCGGGGAGGGGTGGGGAAGGAAGGTTTTGGAGGTGGGGGGAAGGTTTAAGGTGACGGGCAGGGGAAAGAAA